CTCTTCTTCGGTGCACATTCATTTACACACACACAAAAAAGGGGGAAAAAAATTACTAGAAAGACCCCTTGCCGAAACGTCGATTTGTGTTGTTTTGTACATGTTTTTCTTCTTTCCTATTTCGTTAGGCTTTTTAGTCCACTTCACTGGATTTATTTATTTTACAGTCGTGGTTTATTTACGTGAAGACTGTTGGTCACTCACCTCTCAAGCAGAAGCACTCCACCCGTGAAGGAACATCCCTAATTAGTGGCTTTTTGCGGCATAATTGTCAGAGGCAGTGGTTCTAGGCTCGCTGCACACACCACCCACTCCCTCCCATAGTAAGGGCTCTTTAACCCCCGAAAGTGGACAGAATTGTCCCCCTTCCTGATTTTCTAATGATTATGTCATCGAATGATCATAACTGAATTATAAATTTCTCAAATTAACGTGGACATCCGGGCGAACGAAGCCGTAAAATCAGTACCCGAAAATATCACGGGAAATACAGCCAGTGATATATTCACCACATCGTCCACTGTTTGAGTGCCGATACGTGTTCCCGTCCTAGTATGTGACGCAATGTTTCCTTATGTTAAAGCCCCACCCCAGCTGTAGTCAGGGGCCCTAATATAATCTAACGGTACAACGGCAGTTTTGGGGATTTCAGCCGGGTAATCCTTCTTCGAATGGTGGCATTTTGTGTCACCGGGTGTCGGTAGCTCGCTGCACGGTCTTGGTGGGGTTGAAGGACACATACATGCACACGAAAGGCGTCTATGCTTAACAAGGAGTTATTTAGAATTATTTATCATGTCTCTTATTCTTCTTCTTCTTTCCTCTACCCTTGAATACCTCGCAACGTCAAAGGAGGAATATTTGTCTCAAACGAGATCTTTTATTAGCCTCATATGTAGTATTATTTTTTTAGGTGGGGGGGGGGGGGGGGGGGGGGGGGGGGGGGCTCTGATCATTTTTCGGTTCGTCTCTGCGCGATCTGTCTAAACTTGGCTCTGTTACTGCCGTATCTCTATAACATTGCTCTTTATGGTCTCCTGTCTGATGCCAGTCTTGTTACATGGCCAAACCATGCGTTCTGTTGTATGTCGGCAAAGTTCAGTATTGCTTCTCTGCCGACTCTCCTCCCGATAGCAACGTTACTAAGTCGACCTTTCCTTATTACCCCTAGGATAGTAACATGTGAAGAAAGATACATTTGTTAAAGTTATACCCAACAACTAACCTGCACTGTAATCAACAAGCCAGCAATCAGAAGCTGTGACTGTGGGCTAATACATCTCATATTTTTGTTGCATCGTGATCCTTGCAGGAAGATTCTGTAGATTCGAATAGCTTTGACAATCAAGGGAGAATACAAGCAGGTGAAGCTAAGACAAAACAGGAAGTAGATAATACCACAGACGGTATTTGTCGGCATTATCTGCAGGAGAATGACTGTTATATAAGCCCAAAAGATGGCCATCATTTGAATAGCACTTAGTTCTCGGCTGGCGGCTTTGATAACGCTGTGTTCTCGAAAACGGACGTATAGAGCAGCCATGCAGCACAGGAAGATGGTACACAACCCAGCGAGACATATTTCAACGGCTGACATGGTATCATAAATACAGGGGTATGAAGGGGGTATTGGAATACATCTTGTCAAATTTGACTCAGGATCTGGCCAAGTAAACTGTGGGCACTTTTCACAAGCAGTGCGCTTTTTAACCAGTTTCTCGTTTGCACGACAGCTTCCGCATTCCCAGCAACATCGCAGCTCTCTTTGAATCATATACTGGTCAGGGTTGCAAGGATGACTACAGACAGACTCCGGACGCTTTTTTCTCTGACCACTTTCTGACAAGTTAAATACAGGAGACATAAACTTCAAATGGTCCCATGATATCAGAGGACCTCTGTAAGAGATTGATCCGTCTTTGACTTCATAACAACCTACTTGTGTTTCAACTAACTTTCCACGAGTATTTTCCTTTGCGCCACTTTCATTCTCATATAACATTTGCCTGATAAAGTACTTCCCAATTAAGTCTCCGTTTTTGTCAAATGAAATTTTGCTGGTGAAACCATTGAAGGAATAATTCAGCATATAGTTTAGCAGTGTATTTCCATTAACACAGAGCCTTGCATCGTGCCCGGCAAGCGACGGGCATAGGTCACTCAACAGATTATGGATACCATATGCAAAAGTAAAGACACTGTCAATAATCAGTGATATGGAAGGCGGAATGCTTATCTTTTGAAAGTTATCGATGCTTGTCTGGGACCAGCAGGTATTATTGCTAAACGAACATTGCGCCAGCATCTGCCAGAAGGGCTTAAACCATGGATTGGTAGTCGAATTTGGACGTAACTCTTTGAAATACTTCTCAAATGCAGGAACTGGTTTTGAGTAGTACATAAACGTGAATGTTCCGTAAAGTTCTTCTATATACTTTCCCCTCGAAATAATTTTATCGCTGAGAGAGTCGCTTCCAATCCATATAAAGTGTCCTTTAGCACCGGCGCGGTGTGAGGCGGCCAGTAGGTTTAATATCGGATCTGTTTCGGCGAATAGAATGACCACTCTGGCTGTTTCGTGACTAAGGAGATTCTTAATGACGCTGTCAAAATCAGTGTTGGAGCCAACTCGATGCGATGTGGCCAAGCATATGTCAAACTTCGGAGCTAAAACTTTGATCCTTTCAAATGCCGTATCGCCGTATGTTGTGTCTCCGTGAACAACTGAAATATACGTCCAACCGTTGTCGGCAATGAAAGTCAACATGCCTTGGACTTGGTGTTTGTCTGGAGGCACTAGTCTCAACAGGTAGGGATGATTGTACTTGTTGCTGAGCTCGTCTCCTGTAGCCATGTAGCTGATCATGGGAAGTCTGGCTACAGAGAGAAGACTGGACATGTATACTGTAGACGTGCTTGCTTGAGGTCCTAAGACTCCTACTACATCGTAATGTGGGATCGGCTTGAACGATGGAGTCGATGACGATAAGAACGTTGGCGGTATTGTTGTGGTAAACTTTGACAAGGGTCGGGTTTGTTTAACAGAAATAGAAGAGTTTATTGTGTTATTCAAGGTAAATTTATTCTTTGAACTTGCCACTGGTAGAAACGATAGCGTCTGTGACAGTGCTATGTTTGATGATCTGCAGTAGTCAACTATCACAAATCCCAAAGAGACATTGGGAAGTAAAGACGGATTTTTATTTATGATTTCGACAGCGTATGCAATGGCTTCCATTGCTGGTAGAATCCATGGATCCTGGCGTATGGTGTTGGTACATATGAGATCTTTTGGGTAGTCAGTGATGCTCATAACCGATCCAATATTGATATCCCCTAGGATGGAATATCGCTTGTTGATTGTATAAGGAAGAATGAATCGATTGTCCAGAACATCAACACTGTTGACCGATATTTCGTCTAATGAAAACGACGTTGTGCAAAGAATACACGCGACTGTTAAAAGCAAAGTCTTAGCAGATCTGGGAAATCTTAAGGGCATCTTTAATAATTTCTTGTATTTTAGTTGTGTTAGTATCGGTTTATATTTGAATGTTGCTGCTAAATTATAAGTTATAAATTTCACTCAACACATTCCTTGCTTCTAAACACATATAACACATATTTTTCCATGCACACGCCTTATTTCTACATAAACTGAGAAGAATCAGTTTCATTTTTAATAACTGTGTTTAACGTGATAAGTTCTTTTTCAGGCAAGATATCACATTAGGCAGAATTTCTGACGCACGTCATTTATTTACTTTATTATTAGACTGTAAAAAAAAAAAAATTAAGTTTCCAGGTGATGATCAACTGGCTAAAGAGGGTGCAACTCAAGACAAAACAGGAACTAGATAATAACATGCCAGTCTCATATCAACAGAAACAGAGAATAATCAGATCAATCAGAAAGTCACCAACACCGACACGAAAGGCTTGTCATATTAAGGACAGACCAGAGCAAGAGACTATTCGACGCATTAGCACAGGACACAGTAGGCTTCGCAACCACATTGACACACAATTTAATACTGGGGAATCAGCTATGTGCACGTATGGATTGGCACCTGCGACAACAGATCACATTATCTCAACACTATCTCTGATACAACATACCAAGACAAACATTTGCAAAGTGGAACACCCGTGGAAACCAAACTTTACGAGTCGCTGATTGCATTAAAAAAATTGACAGTGAAGTTCATTCTAGAGAACAAATTGCAGATATAAATAATCTATTTCAAGCGAAGGAAACGAAAGAGGCCAACATGTTTTCACAATTATACTGTAATGAATTATGTTATATATTTTTCCAAAAACTTTCCTCGATCACAGTAGACTTCGCAACCACATTGACACACAATTTATTACTGGGGAATCAGCTATGTGCACGTATGGATTGGCACCTGCGACAACAGATCACATTATCTCAACACTATCTCTGATAAAACATACCAAGACAAACATTTGCAAAGTGGAACACCCGTGGAAACCAAACTTTGCAAGTCGCTGATTGCATTAAAAAAATTGACAGTGAAGTTCATTCTAGAGAATAAATTGCAGATATAAATAATCTATTTCAAGCGAAGGAAACGAAAGAGGCCAACATGTTTTCACAATTATACTGTAATGAATTATGTTATATATTTTCCCAATTGATCTTACTTTCCTCGATCGCTTTGTATGTTCTTAAGTTAAAAATGAATTTTTTTCATTATATAAATGGCAGCTTTTTGGTTATTCTATATTTTACAGTATGAACTTCATGAAAAATGTCAAACATGATTATGTCGTTGTGACGTACTTTACAAATCCATGCCATGGTACACAATAATACTCGGACCCTTTAATTCCCTTTTCCGCGAAGGCTAACCCCGTCAACAAATTCCTGCACAAGACAAATGTGTTGGCCGAAAGATGAAAATATCGCAGCCATGCTGTAAACTGACACAACGCAATAACATCTTGGGATGAACTCAGAAGAAGAATCCAGTCGTCAACATGCAGTCAGCTCTCCGTTTTCGAATGTATTTAAATAAACTTATTTCCGCCATTACGTAACACTGAGATTACGTAATTGTGGTCTCGTACATTTTATACCAGCGTTCTCTGCCTAGTTATCTTGAAGTCCTAACTCCCTGTCCTCTGCTTTCATTGATTGTCCGGTAAGAGTTGAAATATGGCTGACGTGGAGTGACCTGTAATTTATTTGAAATGCTGGAGCCTGTGAAAGGATTTGTTGACAGATAAACAGAGGGGTTATATATTAAATGTGGTTTTTTTCTTCTCTCTTTTTGTTTTTTTGCGTGATGCAAGCATAAAGTTATTCTACACGTGAAGGCCGCTATAATGGACGGCTTTGAGTATAGCAGTTGATTTAGTCCATCTAGTTCAGCGATTCTCAACCTGTGGGTGGCGACCCCTTTGGGGGTCTAACGACCCTATCACAGGGGTCTCCTAAGACCACAGGAAAGTAGATATTCACTGATTTTATGATTTGGCTCATGCCTCTCCATAATGTGCGATCACCAGCAGTATGTCAGTTCATGTGTTGAGACTTCACCACTCCATGTTAATAATTTTCTCATTTTGTCTTTCTCTATTTATATTTTTTTCTTTCTGTAATTTGTTTCCAGTAGTTTCAACATGTTGCAGTTTCTTTCTTCTCATATCTTGAACAACAAATGATCACTTTCTGCTTATAATATGCGCGATACGGTGTCCTCGGTCTCTTTGCCTTATTTAAACATAAGAATTACACAGCCTAGCTGTCCACCGAATTTGAAGCACTCGTCTGTAAAACCACATCATCAAGGCCCTAATAAATTGTTTGTCTTGTTTATGAATTCTCCAGGATGATTCACAGCCAAATGTTATAACCGACTCTGTTTATCATTCTAGCATTCTTTTTCTTGTAGTAATATATGACCTTTTCTGTTGTGATTGTTTGAAGCAACAAAGGAGGTGGAATATAGAGTCTGTGAAACACGGGACTAAACACAGAGAATTTATGACAAAACTACACATGTCAACTTCTTCATGCTTTCTGGATGGTCACAACACTGGACATGTTTTGGAGATTAGTTTTTATTAGCGCATCTGCTTTCTGTTTACAACTCACGTCGTTATTTATTTATGAATGATTGGTACTCACTGTTTTAGCTGTAGAATTTATAGTGTGTGTTGATATTTTGCACATGTTATAAGCAGGCGTCAGCTCTGTGGCTAAGTCGATGCGAACGCTTCGTAATGCCGGGATGCCGGGTTCGATCCCAGCTGATAGGTATGCGCCTTGCGTTGGTTTCGACAGTGGTATCAAGAATGCTGACCGTCCAGAAAGCAATGACAAACTACTGGATGTAAATTTGCCTAGAAAAACCACACAACAGCCAGGGGCTGATAGGGTTGGTTCTGCAACGTCCTGTCAAGGATACGCAACTAAGCTGTAGGCAGGCGCACGAACGAAGAAAAAACATGGGGGTGGGAGATATTGTTTTATTGGCAGAAAATGGGAAGGGGGCACATAAGGGGTCTTTTCAAACGTCAAGAGCCTAAAAAAATTGTCGTAATAATAATAATAAAGAAAATAATAATAATAATGTTATGAACGGTAAAATAAATATCATAACACATTTGAAACAATGTGAATTGCATAAACAAATTAAAAAAAAGTTACACAAAATTTCTAAAAATGGTTAAATGGGACTGCTTAGCCTCTTTACAAAGTAATGTGTTGCGGGCAGGGGTCTCAGCTGACTCCTCCTAAACAAAATGTTTGGGTAGGTGGGGCTGGGGGAGGGGGACGTCTCAAAATTCATGATATTCTTCGATTCAGACGCCCCTGGTTAGGCTGCAGGGCGCAGTATTTAGAAATGGAAGGAACCAAGGCTGGTTGATTGAGAGCTTTATCGAAGAATGGGATTTTTGTTTGGTATTTCAAAAACCTTGTGTATTGGCGTTCAGACTGTGAAGTAAGCGAAAAGCCTTTGTAGAAGATACGCTGATTAAAAGGAATTCTTAGGGGACAGGAAAGAAAAAAAAACGGCATGCAAACAACATAGTAAATAACCTGTCAATAACATAATAAGGGGGTTGGGGGGGCCGACAGAACTTTTGGGTTTAAACTCCCTGACCCCTCCCACCCCCTCCCTGATCAATGTTTTTATTATGAATAGTAGAGCCGGCTGTTCTTCGTATAAAATGTGTTAGAAAGCGTTGGCAACTTCTCCGAACCCTATCCACGCTTCCACCAATAATCATGTGTTAAAATTGTTATTTACAGTATCTGTTTATGTACTTTATATGATCTGAACCACATTATTAAATTTTTTTTTGCCACAGCATTTTATTCTAATTATTATTACCTTCTTAAATAAGGACTGAATTTCTTGAACCTTCAGTTCCCCCTTACAAATTGGATGAGGGTACTCAGCAACGCCTTATCCACCCTTGCCCAAACCCATGAGCTCTTCAATGTTTCCTTTGCGATGACACCCATGTAAACCCATTCCCATCTGTTAATGTCAGTTTCTTTATTCGGGAGACCCAGGTTCGAATCCTTGTAAAGGCTAGGGATTTTTTTTTCCTTTCAGGGGCAAAATAAAATCCTCAGTTGCACAGTCGTAGCGACAGCACTAGCCATGAGGCTGTAAATCTTTAAGCTTCAGAGCACCTAAACCCCTTCCCACCATCGGCCTACACCGCAAAAGTGGTAACATTAAAGCAGTTATTGACAGTTTTTCCGATGGCCACCCGGATTTCCACGTTTGGAGACAAAGAGCAGACAATACCAGTAAATAATGCCCCCTACGTTATCTAGCAAATAATAAAATGGGTTGTCCCGCTTTAGTGTTTAGAGTTGATATTTGCTTCAATACTGGAATCATTAAAATAATGGTCTTCACAAAGGCGTGTCTGTTGACCTAATGTATTGCTCGGTGTAAACACAATTTGCCTGGTCATCAGTGATCGATATTAGCCCGAAAGTATCAACAGGAATTGGCTGGTAGAATTGCTGATAGAGTACAGTACCCATGTATTTTTTTCCTCTAACCTTTCACTATTCTTTTGTTCTAACTCATGTAACGTCACGGTGCAGCCGAATACGATAACCTCATAAGGATAGTTTACAGATGTTTGTCTCACTTTCGACATGAACCAAAGAGGAGCAGCGTTCTGTTATTCGTTTTTATTCAGTCAGGAAAGGTGTAAAGCCTATAGAAACATCAAAGAAAGAAGGTGCAGTACGCTGATGTCTGTATGAGCGGAGTAAGAAATTTCAAAACGGTCTGGCCTCTGTGAAAAACTTTT